TATAAAAGCGTTTTATCAATCTAAATCCAATATGATCTCAATAATTTTATGAGTTATTTGCTGTACCTAGCATATCAAAAAATGCATTAATATATATTTATTTATATGAAATTTTCGGCATTGGAAAGCTCCAGGCGTTATGATGTATCTAGTTTATTATTTTTTCATTAATTTTGCCCATTTACAGCCACGTTATCCGAAAATACGGCTTTACTCCTTCTTCGGACATTACGATGGTCAATATTCAATTTATATCTCCGAGTTATTTATTGAATTAGTCTGTTTTTTTATCGTTTATACATCCGTCTAACATCTCCGAGGGTTCTATCCGAAATCATTTCTGTAAATAAAGGAAACAATGCGGATTGTTTTTCATCTGTCTCATAGGGGTCATTTTTGTGTTTTCCTTAGTAGATTCCATTACAAGCGTTTCGTAGAAGATGAACAACGGGCCAATAAAAAAACAACAGATGCGCCTATTGATATAAAACAGGGAGATTATTTCTTATGAGCTTTAACAAAGGGTATAGAAGCATTTTATTTTCTTCTGTGCGATTGACCAATTCTTTACAATCATTTTCTATATAATCAATTTAGAAAAAGTAGATCTGAAAAACAAACAGTATTGAGATCTCAAATTTGTGATATCAAAATAACAGCAAACCAGTCTTGATGATTTTAGGCCGGTTTTAAAAGTTATTAGAAAAGAAATATGTCTTTTATTTGTTTCCGGGTCAAAATTTAAACGTCACTGTATATATATCAACTAACTACATGTATATGATATTACATTAATGTGCCTTTTCTCGTGAAACAATATGCATTAGCAAAGATCCAATATGATAAGTCAAGGTCAATAGTGGACGAACAGGACCAATAATTTGACCTCACCAGAGGCTGGCGGAATACGATACATCACATGTTTAAAATTTTAACTTTGAAGAAAAATAGAATGATAAGAAGTTCATATTTAAAAAAAAATATTCTGACGTTAATGATGGTATTGCTATTCGGAATTGGACAGTGTAATTGGTCTTCGGCCAATGTATTTGGGTCAATACAATTGGACACAGTTAAATATCAAAGCCCGTATGAAAACACTAAATTAATTACAATATAATAAGGGGATTTATTTGAAATGTGTTGGTTTTTATAACTTGGCTTTGAAGCATGATTTTTCTTTTTAAGTTTATTCATTACTCCAGACAAGTTCATGTCTGAAATTATAAAGAATAATTATTAGTTTTCTTTATTTAGAGTTCAATGCGATAGACATGGCTATGGATCAGACTTTCTTAGTTACATACTGTCGAGTCTCAATGATGCCAGGAACCAGTTTTGATTCAATCAACCTACGTCTCTGAGAATGCTTAAAATTGTCGTCTGCACTTCTTGTGTTTTATTCTCATCAATTACGTAATAGAAAAAAGAAAAACACTATCACTTTACCATTCATCCATATGAAATTATCAGAATTTTTGGTATGACTGTTTTATGTGACTGTACATAATGAAAAATTAATGCTCATATATTTGTTCAAGGTGCACTATTTTATTTGTATACTCCAATAAACCGAACTACGGATGCGTTGCGGATTATTTAAACCATTATTTTTCCTAAAGATAATGTCTTCCCAAAATTCTTGTTCGTAACTCCTGCATGGTCATTATTTATTTAAAAGATAAAATTAAAATGACTAGGATACTATGAATGCTCCAAAGTTATGACTAGTTTGTTTATGAATTAAAATGATTCGAGATATCTGGGGACATTCCTCCGATAGTCATGTATGTTTTGTTTCGATATTATAGTAACAATTTAGACCGTACCTATACGATTCCAGCGTTGTCTTGGTATTGAGGGGGCAGGGGACCTAAAAATGAAAAATTTTGTATTTCAGTATGACCAGAAACACAATTCCAAATATTTCAAAATCTGTTTCACAGGCAGATAACCAGTTGCACAGCATTATTCAATGATATATGACATACATTGAAAAAAATAATAGTTTGCATGCAATGCTCCTTCAAAAAATGACTGACAGCAATTTATATTTACCCCCACCCAGCCAAAATCACACCTAAAATGTACCAATATAGGCAATCTTCATGAAGGGTCAGCATACTCCAGAATCCGCCCGATTCCTTTAAAAATATCAGTAACACGCAGTGCAAGCTATGGCATTTTCAGAAATGACAAATAAAGTGTCTGTCATACGTTTAGATTTTTCACAAAATTTATCTGAAATTTCTTACTGGTTTGGCGCCAACTGTCAAAGCTTGATTTTTAACTTTTTCACCTCCATTCGGAGAGTCAGAAATACATACAAAGCTACCAAAATGCTTAGTTTCGGGTAAAAACCCAAAAATATATCTCATTTCCTACACACAAACAAGAAAGAACTACAATGACAGAGAAATATCAGAAGTTATCAGTACCTTCAAAACACCATGTCTGAGTTATTAAAAAATTTTCGAATATGTCCCCTGCCCCCTGATTGAGTATACATGGGCGTGTGAAAAATTAATAAGTTTTAAAGGAACCCCACTGAGGTTCAAAAGCCTAAAAATTTATAATTTCTTACATAGTAAGATTGTGCACAAAAATATAATGTAAGAGATAATTAAAAATATGCTCAGAAATAAACTGAAAATCGTATTTTGTGCTATTCTTGGCCCAATTTGAGTGATTTATCTCGGAAAAATATTATCAGTCCCGTCATGTAAAAAAACACCACCAGTGGAGTCCCTTTAATGACACTGCTAAGGGTGAAATGTTTCAAATTAGGAAGTTTTAATGATACGCGAGTTAGTAAAATATATACTGAACTCCTCTTATTGTACTGCTTAAAACAAAGGGAACGGTGGCCTTGTGGTCAGGGTATATCTGCCTATTGTTGCTACGAGCCAAAATGACCATGAATGACATTGCCAGTTTTGTATTTATTTAAGCTCGATTGCGAAACAAGTTCTTGCAATTTATATTAATCACTTTGAGTCCGCGTCCTGAAAAAACTAACCAGTACTGGTGTCATATGAAAAAGACATGGTCGTAACCCGATTAGGGCTCGAACCCATGATCCCTGGGTCGAGAGGTTGACACCTTAACCACCAATACCGGATACTTTCAAGAAGTTGTTCAAATAAGTCAGGTTATCTTCACAATCGAACTTAAGTACATTTGTTAGTAATGTTTAAAATAAAACTGTCTGATCGGAAATGACAATTTTGTTTTGACGCATAACTTCTCACGTGATATAACGAGATTTTAATACTTGTATACACAAAAAAAGTTTCAAGAGTGGTTCGGTAAGCTAGACTTTCTTTACAAATAATAGTTTCAACTAAAACTTTGTCCAGTCGGAAAAGACAATTTTCTTATTGTGCATAACATCTCACGTGACATTGCGAGACTATAATACCAGGAGAAAGAATAAAAATAATACAAAAATGGGTTTATATCATATTTATTTCATTTCAATATATGGAAAACATTCAACATGTAATTATGGTAATGTAAACAAGCATTTTAATAGCATACATATAGATATTTACATATATTACAAATAATATCGTTTAACAAAATAATAATGATCAGTGTTACAGTTGCCGATTCAATTTGTCGTCTGCTTCAAAGTTTTTAATATTCGAACAAAATATTTTCAACGATGTATTACAACAGGACATGAGGAGAGTTTTACACGTTATTGCACTCTTTAAAAATAAAAGCAAAAAATGTGCTTACATTACAGAAGACGGAGTACGCAGGATTTTTATATGAAGTAGAATTTTTAAAATAGTTTTTCTTCTCTTTTTTCATTATAATGCATAATTGATAAATTATTTTAAGCCTATGAAAAATCCTTCAACTAATGTTATATCAATAAAATGAATATATTATATCAATCAGTCGATATATACAAATATTTTTTCACCGTAAGAGGTTTTCAATATGGTTGTTATCTTCTAACTAACCCTTAGATTAAAATACAATATCAGTCAACTCTGAATAAATTCTGAAATTATGCCAAAAATAACAACTTTGGGTAGCTTTTGTTCGCGCTGTCAGAACCTTCTATACCAGTAATATATTTTGTCAGCTGCTTTTCCCCTAGTATTTATATTTTTTCTCAAAACATTTCTGTAACTGATAATTCTAATTTTTGTTTCTTCTATTAAGTGCCAGAAAATGAAACCTTTGGTAAAAAAAGAATAATAAAATAAAAACAACACCTTTCAAATCGGCCTATTATCTATAACGCATAAAGAAATATTTATGTTCCAAACTAGGTTCAAATCCAATTAAATTATTCATAAATTTACGATTAATTTCGAATGTTTTTGCAGCAATGTAAACAGTTTATTTTTAAAAGTGGTACAATATTGATGCTTTTTTTCGCGTCTACACTTAAAAATATACATGTATGTACTTTAACCAGCTAAAGAAGTTCAATAATTGAAATGAAACATTCAGATTTTTAATGATTTTTTTCGGTCTGACATGCAATATATTCCGAATCATGGAAAGAAGAAAAAGAAATATTTATTGATGAAAACAAAACTACATTCAACAAGATTTCGAATTATCTATGACACGAAAAATATTGAGAACATGTCGATTTTTTGTAAGAATTACTTTATACATTCAATCATTAATAATATATTCGATCAATTTTACAACTGATCAATTAGACAACATATATTTAACTTTAGACAACATCAACCAGTGTAATTTGCAATGAAATGGTGTACCTCGGTTCACAAAAATAGCACTACATGTGTTTCTATATGCCATTTCATTCACAACAGTGTCATTACAACAAACCTATAATTTTGGACCAGTTGGAAGACTAATTATTTTCGGCCTAGGTCGGTAATTATCCTTTAACAGCCGCTGAGTCACTGAAGAACAAGTCAAACAGGCTTTAATGGTGTATAAACACCATTTTCTATGTACATTATTCTTGTTCCGTGCACGTTACAGGCTATTTTATTTATATAAAAAAACAACACAACAATAACGTGCGTTTAACATAGATAAACTTTCAAACAAAAATATAAATAAATCACTGTTTAATACACAATATTAATGAAAGTAATTTCGTGTTAAGTTTACCCGTTGCGTACATAGTTCAATAACAGTTCCATATCACAGTTGGAAGGGAGGGTCCCTATCGCCCCCTTTCAACAATCTAAGAAGCACATTGGGTGTGGTTTATTTTTTACGATTCCAATATTACACCATTGTCAATGAGTTGATGAAATCAGTTTTTCATTTTACTGCATAGCAATGAATAGTTGGACACCGTATGTAGTGTTTTTGGTCACTTTTAATTACAATAATGAAGTTCCTTCACGTGCCGACACTTCTGACATTCCACTCTACAGCACCAAAAAAACTTACAATCACAGTCTTCTGAAAATTCTTTTACTATCGTGTAATATCCCCTACCACAACACATAAGATTACAACCATCTAAACCATAACTGTCTTTCTTACACTCGCGTCCACGTGTACCCAATGACCCGAAAACTGGATTTGGCTCACAAAAGTCCGGTGAATTCTCAAGATAAACTAAGTCTTTTCTAGTAGGTCGTTTCATATCTCGGCTGATTGGGCGTAACTTAGATCCTCGTCTGTTGATCTTCATTAAACTAGCGCCGTCGAATTTCTCCTTCAAAGCTGAACCAATGGCGCGAAAAGGACGCATCTTTCTCCAGCATATCTTGACGGAACAAGATCCGGACACGCCGTGACACTTACAGACCAAGTCAACCTGTTTCTTAGCGATCTGAAATACAAAGAAGTTGTTTGAAAAATAACAGATTATAGTAAAATAATACGAAACATGTAATGAATTGTTTTGTAATTTCATATGAAAAACTTGTATTATTTTTCTTTCACAGCCCATATACTTCCGGACCATTCATAATTATACTCGTCGTTTTTATTGTACAACCGTGACGTTTATTTAATTTTACACACACGGTTGCTGTCAATCTATAAAGAAATCACATTTATTTCCTTTAAAAAGGGAAGTTTGCTGTATTATAAATTCGTTATATAGATTCCTGACAGGTTATATGACTGTATATAAACGGCTGTTTGCAAATGTAACCCTATTATAATACATTTGTTTTAAACGTTATGGAATACAATATTATTTTGTTCGAAATTCAAACCGGCATTTTTATACTTTTATTGGTACTCTTAAATCAATCAGATGTAAGCAATTTCCGGAACTTTATTCGTTTAAATATATTGTATTGCTACCGAATGACATCAATAACTTGTTGAAAATTGGTATACTTACAAGTCGGCCAGCTTTGTTGTTCCATAGATTCATCAGACCAAATTCGTTTTTATCTTGAATCTGCTCTTTTGAGTCGACAAATTCCTCGGAGAATTTAGCGCCATATTGAAGATTCTCCGAACAACCACCCCACTCAAACTGGCCCTCGGTTTCTTGTTTACGGACGGTGTCGTCACAACCGCAGCCGACCAATGTCCCTTGTGCGCATGCTCGGGTAACGCTGTACATTACGCCGGCAGACGAAATGGAATAGATGTAGGCAGTCTCACGACTCTCTGAAATAATAAGAAAATAACATTTATTATGCGAATTCTTCAATGCAATCAAAACATATTTGAACAGAAAACAGTCGCCCGCAGTAATAAGTCAAAAATGTTGCATTTATATACCATCGGGCATTGATAATAAATTCGGACAGCGGTATTTCTTTTGGGCATGTGTGAATAAACTAAGATACCCTTGTCATTTACAATACGATAATTGGTTGATCTAAGGTTACTAACTAATTTTCCATTGATAGTACCCTTTTTATTGCAGAAATCTCAAATTACAACGGGCACAAACAATTTGATATATTTGTGTTTTCAAATCACCATTGAGGAAAGCGAACTTTATCCTGGTCTTAACATAAATTCATTAAGCATTTGTCAATCACTGAACAAACAGACGTGTATCTCTTAGGGTACAGAATGGGGTAACGCAAGCATCATGGAGTAGGGCCGTCTTAACTTAGATTGGCATCCCCAAACTTCAACCTAATATTAAATTCTTACAGTATTCTATAGATGAGGAGTTTGTACTTGTTTTTATCATCACATAATTGGAAGCTGTCTTTACTGTACTATAGAAAGTACAGGGATCATATTTCGGACGTACCCATTGACTATCTAGTTGACATCTCAATAAATAGTTCGAAAATTAGAGGCCACACTGCCTTTGATCACGTCTGCATAGCTGTCATTAATTAACTTCATAACCACGAATGCAAAAGGGAAAAAACACATGTTTCTAATGTTTCGGTTTTTTTGTCTTATTACTGTATTCGTTAAGAATAAATAAACTTTTTTTTTAATTCTGTCATTTAGGAAATCCGTTTGGCTTCTTTACAGGAGTAGATTCGTACTCAACGGGAGTAAAATAAAATATATCAAAATATCAAAAATCAATTACGCATGCCCCAGTTATAAACTAAGATTGCTTTGCTCTAGTGAAAATTATCACTCTTGTGTCAACAGGTTATCAAAAACTAATCTTAATACAGATTCTTTTTAAATCTACCGACGTGCTTCTGCTTAGATTTTGGTCATTTTGCTAATCTTTCGATTGATGGTTTGTTAATATAGTCTAAACATATTTATAATATTTGTTTACATAGACTGTTACAAGCTAATTGTAAAGAATGTTTACAGCATGTGGCTCTTAAGCCCGTATCTTTACACCCTGAACGGATCGTTTACACACGCTGTGTCCATGCTGTAACTACAATATATCATAATATAGTCCGGGAGTTTCATGTCACTCCTTTTTTATATAATCAATGAATGAAATATTCAAGTATTTTTTTTAAAATGTGGTAGCAATTTATCAAAGAATAATATTAAATATCGTTGTGTACTTACTTATCTTGATGACGTTGCCGAAGACGTCAGTGTTGTTGAACGTTGTACAGTTCCAGCGACGCCCGTTGAACTGGTACTTGCATTCTTCTATACCCATGGAGGCCCCCGCACTAATCACGTCGATCAGTCGTTTCTCTTTAGCGCAAAGTTCACGTTGTCTAGGCTCTAGGTACGGGGAGTTATCACATTTCTCGTTGTCGTTCACTGATGACGTTTGGCGCGTGTCACGTGATAGACTAGCAGACGTGCCGAGAACACCAAGGTACCTACAAGATATAAAATAAAAATATTTAATATATTTTTCTAAAAAAAAAAGATAAATAAAAAAATGAATGCGATCAGTGATTCACCAAAAATGAACAGACGGTAAAAAAATATTTCATTGAACGAAAATGGGAAAAGTCAGACAGAATTATCTACGAATGGCATAACTGTACAAAAATTCTATGGTTGTTCTACAAGTGCCAGGAACGAATCAAAAGCAATGGGAAAACATATTTATCATACTCGAGGGAGGGTCGGTTCCATCTACACAAATATCACTTATAATTGCCTATTAGTGAAGAAAGATTAGAAATTAAAAAGGTACACGTGATGATAAGCGTTTGTCTAGCTCGGAGATGCCGTTAAAACAAGGAGCAAATAACTTAACAATTCTAATAGATTCTCTTCAATGGAGAAACATCTGTTAGTAAACAAGATCTCTTATTCTAGGTATATATAGAAACGAACAACATTGTTAAGTTACATAGAATCGTCTCCGTTTCTATTCTATTTCATAATAAAGACCACATGAATCATGCGATCCTTTTTTCAGTTATTTTCATCGGTTTATATGAACTTAAGTAATACTATTTTTAAGTTTAAAAAATTAAAATACATAGCATTTGCCATTCAAGAGAAGGTAAACTTCTTATTTTCTAAAAGTGTAGTACTTGACTAAATATTTGAGAACACAATTATGTTTGGTTTAACGATTAAATACGTCTTTGATGTATAAATGTAACTTGGGTTTTTAATGCATATTGTCATATCGATCATATTAATTGTTTTCCTATTTTTATTTCTCAAATTAATTATTCATGCACTTAACTGGATAATTCTAGTACATGACATGAACGTATCATCACACCGAGTAATGAATAGTTTTGTGAATATATATTAGTCTGTCGCAACAAATGAAGAATAGTTTTGTGAACATATCATCTAAACAAGAAAAAAGCGCATGAAGAAATTTATAGTTTTGTGAGCATTTAACGCCAAACTAAACTAATCGTTTCAAGGCTATGTTTATATCAAGTCAATGAGTATTTTCAGAGTTAATGGAAAGGACAAGGGCCCGGGCGTGGTGGATGCTGTTTTGAGTTATGAATCTTAACTTAAACCTTAAAAGATGCCAAAGTATCTTGATGTTATATTTCATTTCATCTGTATTCAAATAATGTACCAATGTATATCTGTTGTTACGAATTTTCTTTATTATTTGTTCATATCTAACACTATGTAGAGCAAACTTTAATAATTTTCACTAATTGTTGTGCCCGATCATCTTGCCAAACTTGGTAAAACGTGGCGGTCTTATTGAGCATAGTCCTGCAAAAATTATACCCTGCATGGTGAATTGAAATCTTTGAGAGAGAAATACTGTTTAGTAAAATTGAGTAAACAGTTACTAGTTATGTATCTTTCTGAGTCAATAGTCAATGTTTACGTTGCTTTTCGTTCTTTTATATACTTTTCTTTTGACTTGAAAGTGACCAAGGGTCTAAATATCTTAAATAAATAAAAGTGTGTTTCTATACTTTCACTAAAGCTTGCTAAACAAAACTGATAAATGTAACACTTCCATGGTAATCCATTTTCATTATAAATGCTATCGTAAATTCTTTTCTTAACTTTTAAAATCCGGGGACATTCTCGGGGCCTTTGAACTAGTAATGACGGTCCTTTGTGACAGCAGATGAAGGGTACAAAAGGACCGGATTATCATAATCTAGCTGAGTAGTGTCAACAATAATCCGTCCATTTTCGTTACTTATGTCACACACTTTCACTAAATGCCACTATTTTTTTCTCACGCATATAAGAAAAGTTCCTGTACAGGTAATTGTTTACTGTTTTAATGAAAGAATGGGAAGTACAGTATTTCCTGGGAATCAATACATAAGTGCTTTAACCCATTTTCAAATTTGCAAACCATCTGCATTGCGTCTACGGAAGTTTGATGTTATATACCTGTAAACGCAGACGATCGCTAATTCCAAACAATTGAAAAATCTACTTGCTATTTGAACATCACATTAAACGTAATCTGCATTATCGAATGTTGTTTTTCTTGTATTAAGTATCATCTTTAAAATCACGGTGATGGGAATAAATTAGGCAATTTATTCTATTTATTCTATACTTTATTTACGACGGTGTTATAATCATATGACATATATACATAAATAAATTATATGCAGGTTTTTACATGATAAGCAGAAGACATTTATAGTCCATAAAGCCCTTTGTTATCTGTAGAGGATGCCTGGTTCATTTCAGTGAGAATTTATAAGCAATCTCGTGCATATAAAACAATCGTTAACTAACATCGCTTTCAACATTTTTACATGATCCATACATTACCAAAAATGAGCGACAACAAGAGAAGAAAAAAAATCCCGAAAAGAAACAGTGTTAGCCTACTTTGTAGTCGACATAACAAGTACACTTTGACCTTTTATTTTAACCATGCTTGTAGTTTTGTTGAAACACCATGGACTTTGCGCTCAATAACAAACATATCTTGTTTAAAATTCCGTGATGATTTTTTTCTTTTCATTTTTTTTTAATGTAAAAGCGTATACGATAACATGATACAATAAAGTGATATTTTTCGCTTAATAGATATCAAAACATAAATTTATCATTCTATACTCAATCAATTTGGGTTTTCATATACCTAGTAATTTCATACGCCGATATTATAAGTTAGATACATTAATAAACGAGTGTATTTAATTGTAATATACTGTATCACATTATAACAATTTTGTAACAATTATATAAAATGGTAGCTGATGTCTGTTTTATTTAATCATTATTATTGCACCATTGTCAAGTATTTTATTCAGATAAATTTGTTAAATTGTTGCACATCTTATAAATAGAAAGAAAAAATATATGATTCTGTTAATATATTCATAATTTTACTTTCTCTGGTCATATGTTGATATTTAAAGCTTTGTACGTGTATTATGTTTAGGGCAATAAAGATTTTGAATCGAAATGAAACTGATTGAAAATTCATATGTTCAAAATTTAAAAAGTAGCAACTAATTAGTGAAATGCATAATATATGAGCTGGTTTAGAAAAGATCGAACATTTGCTTGCTATGTCCCGACGTCTCCTAAATTTATCACCTTATAAAAACAAAGAAGCCGTGAAAAGGTTTGAAGTAGACCGTCAAAGTAACATATTGATTTAGCTTTTTGACTAGGCACCGTATGTTTGCCAAAAAATATAATAGCCCACGACAAACATATCAATTATAAATTAACCAAACGGTGAACATGATTAACATATGGGTTATCTTTGATCTATTGATCAATTAATTATCACTGATTGAATTTAACCACAAGTATTAGTTTGTTTGTAACAGTTAATCCAAAATAGATCAAACATAATCAAATGAGATAATCCCGAATCTAAAAATTTCTACGGTAATTATTTTCCCGTTTTTAATAAATATTTATTTTACATTAAATGTTAAATATTAATTCTGAAACATGTATTTTACAAATAACTATTGTTTTTGATTTTATTGATATTTTGTTCACTTGATTTAAAGTTTTGAATATTTCATGTGTGTGAAATTTCATTCATTTTTTAATACATAAGTTGTTGAAAAAAGTGGACCATGACAACCAAAAAACAAGAAACTTGTTAATTACAAAAAAGTAAGATATTCCCTATGTTGTAATAATTACATGTACAATATACATTTTAAAATATTCATTCGTTTTAGGCATTTCCAAATATATTAGTAGTAAAAATTTACAAGTTTAATTAAATTCAAAATTTCAATATGCTATTATTTTGTTTTAGTTTTTTTTCTTTCCAATGTTGAATTCATTATTTCAACACCCAGTTTGGGGTATTAAGTAATCAAGAACAAATCAGTAAGTTATATATTTTTATTATGTAATAAAATAAGGTAACCGCAATGTATGGCATAAATGTGTTGACAGCTACGTAGGAGGCATTAATGTACAATTTCTTTTGTAATATTTGGCAGACACAAACAAACAAAATTCATTTACTTTCAACGCAAGTACTAGATTTTTTTTCTAAAAAAAATATTAACCACACTTACCACCATGATGCTGCTGAGATCTGGATGTGAGCGAGTAAAATCCACATGCACAACACCCGTAACTCCATACTGTCTCTATATTTTTAATTATTACTAATAAGTCACACAGTAGAATATAAACTCAGTCAATTTATGAATCAGCAAAATAACTTTAAAGGTATTAAAACCTTAACACTGTTGAAACAAGTTGGTATTTGAGTGTATCTTATACCACTAACGATTTAAACACTTCGTAAACTTCACTGTTGAATCAATCAAAAACTTAATTGATAAAAATATCAGTAATCCAAATACAGTCACAGAGTTTAATTATAAAATAATAACTGATAATGTACACATTCGAAATGGGTTTAACCGTAGAAAACAAGAGATGGTGTAAATATAGGAATCCGTTTTACTCAACTGCGGCGTTCGAAGCGTGACGGCTGATTTCATTGGTTACAGGAAATTGATGTGTGACGTCCGCTAGCCAATGGCTATTTTCATTTTGGATATAGTTTTTCGTCTGTCAAAAATTAAAAGGTTTTAGCACGCTTGAATGCATTTTTCAAATCGCGCGTAAATTTGAAGAAAGATTGACCGCGGTTACAAAAACAAAGTTAATCAATTGTTAGCTTTTAAGATATTTTATTCAATAGAACGACCATTTATGTCGACAAATACTTTGATTAAATAAATTATCATATTCTTACTTAATCAACACAAAGCACATATACATACAGTAAAATATCGTTCAATTTTGTTGAAGAATAAACCGACTTGTAAATTGGTTTTATATGAAATTTTAACAGTAGCCGTTAGAAAAACAATTTATGCATTCAAATAAAAATTATTTCTATCGAGTTAATGAAAAAATGTGTAGTGCTGATGACATATTTTAACATGAACCGCAATTTTCCCACACACAAAAAAAAAGGCAAAATGAGGGAGCCAACTGTATCAAACCGCTTCCAATAACATACATGAATTATCCCCTTGAAATGTACTATGTCAAAATGTATTTTAACATTTTGATTATTAAAAAATATTTTGCTCCACCACCCTTATAATTATGATTGAACAGAACAGAATTATTTTTTTCACGTGACTTGTTCATGGAACGTCTTATAAAATACTTATTAATGCAGGGAATGTAGTGCTTAAAACAATTGCATATAAAATGAAATAAATCAAAAGTTGATCTGAAATAATAATTGGCATAGTGATTTTAGACATGATTTTAAAAATATATTACGATTCAGGGGTTTCATTTTTTTTAAATTATCCAAAATCCACGTTCTAGTAGTGATGACTTTTCTTCAAGTTACGTCTGCGTATAAAGCTAACAATTTCGTTACAGCAACTCAATAAATCTATTAGATATTCGGAGTTATAAGATAATATCTTTTCATATTATCGTTTCATAATAATTCTAACAAGGGTATTTATATCTGAAATACTACATGTTTTCGAATGTCATCGTTTCCACCATTACCATAATTAAGACTTCAAAATATTCACAGCGTTCAATAAATCAGCTAGAAATATTCGTTCTAAATACTTTTATCTAAACACATGAGTGCCAAAGGCTAGCTTCACGTCAAAATAACTACCAAACGTGCAAAGAAAGCTGATTGTTTTTCTACATTTACTTATAAAACTGACACCTTGTTTTTACTCCTTATTCAATAATTCATGTTGTTGTCAATATGTATAACAACATTTATTTAGATACTAGCTGAACGGGTTAACGGAGGAGAAAATAATGGCAACAGATAGAGAAGATTTTAGTAAATGTACCCAGAAACAAAAGTCATTCTGTCTGACGTACTAGTATATGTTTCTGCTCTAAAATCATTCCTTTTTTTTGTCAAGTTATCAACTAATGATTGTATTATCAGTGCAGAAAACAAACATACAGACGACCAATGTATACATGTATGTTCCATAAGGACAAATACGTAGAAATAAATAGAAAAATGAATAAATGCAACAGTTGATAATATGTTTACTTTACTGTTGACAAATAACGTAAATGGCCAAAAGGAGCAATATTCACCATACCGGAATCTACAATTTGTCTAGAAAGGCATTGATATTTGAATAATTCCTTTTGTAAATTTGTTCAATAGAGTGAAATAAGAATCCCTAAAGAAAGCCCAACACGGCACAATTGAAAATGTTGCAGGCTCGGTTTGATTGAGCCTGTTCATGGACGGTACTGTAAAGTAGATATGATGCATCAAATCAAAGAAAGCATATGTATATATATAGATATTACATTATAGACAAACATTTATATATTTGTATGCCAATTCCAACTGAAAGGATACTTAGTAAGGTATTGACATAGCAAAGGTAACAGCCGATAGGGTGTTTCTTTACCTTTTACGATGCTGAATGCATAGTTTGACCATTCAATTAAAATTTGGACTGAGAAGAAAAACATAAAACATTCGATGTAAACACCAATGGTGTGTAATGATTATCATTGAATGATGATAAAGTACAGTGGATTAAAACAAATCAACATTCTTTCACCCCAGATTAATGCTGAATTACGGAGGCACAATTCAAATGAAATGAGAGTGGTGCAAGATTGAAAATTGATTGTCACTTAAATATTTATGTATCATATCTTCATATTAAAGTCTCTGTTGATATAAGATTTTTCTAAATCATCCATAAATAAGAAACTATGTTTGTTGCTGCTATGCTTTTTGCTTAGATTGAGAACGATATTGTCTGTAACCTTACGAAAACTGTCATCAATCGGAGACCATAAATCATTGATATTGGTCAGAAAAGTATAAAGTTAAAAAGAAAATGGTCAAATGTTATCTTTGTATAAACCAGACTGTTACCCTCGGGATAGGGTATTGGGCGTAGAGTAACAAGAAAAGGGAAGATCCCATCTTGTACAAGAATAGGAAAAGTTAGATATCGGTGCACTGATAACATCGGGCAATAAAGTTAAAATCTCTGATTGTTAGAAAATTAGCGATGTGCATTTGATATGATATAATTTATACGTTAAGTGAGAGGTTTTATTACAGGGCAGTGATTTCCCTGTCCACTTTTCCCATGTGTTTGTCTTGTTGATGTAGATCTTAACAACAATTAACGTTAAGGCATTAAAACTTTATCGGTTGCTTTAATATTACCGAACCTAAAAATATCGAAATCCTACAAAGAAAATGTATCTGCAGCATCATAAAAAATAATTTGTTTTAAACGTAAAGACCGGCTACAATTAACAATTAATTACAGAATAGATCTTTTTTATCTTTCGTATAAATTTCTTCTAGATCTTCAATAAAAGTTGTCCTCTGTGATTACGTGTATTATTAGAATTTGTTCTCATGTCTATATATGTTACATACTGAGATATATTTGATAATAATTTAATGAAACTTGATGGTCCGGCTGAATCAAATCCTAATTTAACGATTAATTTTTGATTTAAAAAACCTTTTGACCACATTATGTTTTTGAATTTGAGAATCTGTGCAGTTGTGTTTTTCCTCTGTAATAAACTATTAAATCTCTTTTACTTCTAGAAATGGACATTCTTTATTTTACTCAGAAACATTTAATAACTACAAATGTTTTGGAGTTGTACCCCATTGTAAGATTTTGGTTGATCATGTTACTGTTATGTATATACTCATTTGATTTGGACCATTTTATGTAATAATTCAAGGTAAAACTATATATCTTTGGATTATGTTATTTGTTTAAAGAAATAATTATAAGTCTTCAACGTATACGGTTGGTTGTCTAAAATTCAAAATATAAAGAGACCGTGCCAAAGCACTTGTTTCTTTAGGGATATTGACGAACAAACGAACTACTAATATATTATTCAGTGCGTGACTAAAGAAGACCATATAACATTTTTATATACAAAAGAAAAAGAGGCCATATTCTGTGTATATTTTTAATCAAATATATTTTCTACATTTTTCTTTGAAAACATGCAACATTCTTTAGCATTAATTGTGAAAATGCATTTTTACTTGTCAATTATGCGTCATATATGACGTCATATATGTGAAAGGTACATGTGTTTAGCAATGCCATATATTTATTGATGATAGACGGAGAAAAAATATCAGCAGCCAAAAAATGACTGAAATTTTGTAAAAGATATGTCCTTAGGACATTGACCTTGCGAAATAAAATTTGTCCAAATTAGTACCCTTAAGGTTAATTTTATTGAACAGTGTAAAATGGTCGAAATTCTTTATTGTTTATACATGATTTGATCTTTATCGGTCCGTCAAATACATTGAAGATGACACTTTGTCTATGTTAAGCCAACGGCGTTTCAATTGAACTTGTTAAGCCATGTCCCAAAGATCAAGGTCCCGCCCAAACAATAGTCCAATTAGCAAATATATGTCCGTCTATTGTTAAAAAATCACAAGTATTATTAAATTATCACTTAGCAATAACTGTATAATTACCATCCGCAATTGAAAGACACCGTAATCAGTCAATTAAATAATTAAACTGAAAAGTTCCTTTAATAATACTTAATCAGTTACAAACAATTAAATATAATTTTAAGATGTGTTATTTTTATTATTAAAAGTAATTATCGCAATCGTTTAATTTTCCACCGCTAATGATTCCTTAATTTCAGATGTTTCCTTTTATCTGCGAAACCAAAGAAATACTATTACATCTTGTACTATCTAATAAATGGCAAATTATAAATCTTTGTGAATTTTTTCCTTGAAATTAATAATATGTGAACTTTGAATCAAAATCACGTTATTATATGTTCTTATTTGTACAATGTTATCTATAAAAGAAAGATTTTAAAATGTTTAATTCTTCATCTACTATAAAAGTAAACTTTTCCTAAATAATGTCTTAAATAATATTGTATTTAAGGACGTTTCGGGATTTCCATATAGACATATAAGCAAAATCAAAACTGTTAAATAGGCTTTCTTCAAACAGTTATTTTCTAACAACATGCCAAGTTAAAAAAATCTATAGAACAGTTTTAATTTTGCCTACAAGTCTATATGAAAAATCCCGAACATTTTCTTTAAATTTGACTGTTATGTCATTGTTATTGGTCGGGAGTTAACATAAAATTGAACTATAATAAATTTTCCAACGCTCCTGTTGTAAGGGTTTGATTTGCCAACAGTCTATATTGGTAAACGTTCTGGTAAGAATATATATCATGTCTAAAATATGAAAAGACTGCCCCACTCTTTTTATAAATTGACCGTTTCAGGTAAATTCTGATAGATATTTAGAGAAATTTCTTTGGGCCATGTGTGTTATTTATAGCTCATGCGAAGTAAATTATGAAATTGAAAGGAATTCTGACAAATGACTTAAACCTGTTCATTTACAATATATCCTTGTACGGGCATAATGTT